TCAATGGAATATCTATAGATAGTTGAACACAAGTTGAGTACTAAAGAATGACATCGTATTTTCAGTTTTACAATTGTAGGGTCAAAAAAAAAAAAAAAAAAAATGAACAGCCAAATGAATTTTACAAAAAGAGTAATTTATCTGTAAGCTTCGAGACGTGGTTGAATGAACGTGTTGAGTACAGTCAAAATACAGAAACCTGATAATTGTTTTTTTTTTTTCTTTCGTCTGTACTTTTCAAAATCTAGAAGGAAAAGGATGTCTTTTTAAGATCCAGTAAGTAATGATAGGATAATGAAGATTTTTGAATTATTAAGCTTTATAACTCTTTTGACAAAAAACTGTCCGAAGAATTTCTCTTGAGAAGTCAAATTTTTCCCTTAGTTCAGCAAATTTATTGTTGAAGACAGGCATAGCAGATGAAGTCTGACCGGAAAGTTTTGTCGTTTGAGAGACGTCAGTGTAGCATTGATCACCTACCTGTTGAGTCTGTGGTTGCAAGCTAGTATAGTATTGTTGAATAAAAACTGTTTTTATTCAGTAAGCTAGTAGAAGTTTTTATTCAAAGAGGTAACAACTACTGAAAGAGAAGTAAAGGACGTCCGAAAAATAAAAAATGGATGTACTTGTAGATGTCATTTAGCCGAGCGGTAGGGATGCCGTTCTGTTTGATTCCAGTTTGCTGATCTTCAGTAACTATAAAATAAGAAGGTTACTGAAATGACTGTTTAAATAGACGAAAAAGAAGAAGTGAGAAGAATAACTTGCCAGTTGAACAGCGCTGATTACTGCTTAGAGTATACCAATTAGAAAATTAATTTTTTCAGTCTCTGGGGGACGCAAATTTTGTTATTAAAATGTAAATCGGTGGTAGATCATGGTTCTCTGAATTTTGTTGCCTCATTTTCTTAATATTATTTTTCCTTTTAATAACTTCGTAACTGGATCTTTTGAAATTTGAGCAATGAATATACATCAAAATTTTTGTTAGATGTCGCTAAAATAGGACCTCCCAGTGGCTACACCTTTACGACACATAGTGAATGATGGATAGTGATTAATGTATTCATACAGCAAATTATAGTTATACACATCTCTATGAAAATTCCTATGTACTTAGGATGAAAAAAAGGGCATATTGGCAAATATCAAGGAAAAAAAGAAAAAATGAAAATTATTGTATCATCTATAGTCCTTCAGTACAAACCGATGGTCTCAATCCTACACGTAGTTTAGCCGAATTTTACCATAAGTCGCCCAAAAATAAAGTTTAAATTGCATGCAGTAGTTCATGAAATTTTAGAATAAATATTCAGGTAAAAGTGACACAGGAGTAAAAAAGGGTAAAGAAAAAACTGCAAAAACACTCAAGTAGCAGAAGTTCAAAAAGATCCAAAATAAAAATTTGAATAAAAAACAAATCCCACAAATACTTACCGCTTCGTTTCTTTGCTATCGTAAAAGGCGATATTCCGAGCAGTATCAAAACTGTGGTTTTCAGAAGTGATACGGACAACATACTCTAAAAAATTTTTTTATAATAATAACTATTCGCAATTACCGTACTGTTCAGATACAGTAGAACTAATTGTAGAGCTAGTCTTCTAGTTGGATTAATTTGGAAGGTTCTTCCTTCCTCCGTGCGGTAACTTTCTCCGGACAACGGTGAAGCACCAAGTGAAGGATCGAAAGCCAAAAACACAGAAAATGTTATAGAAATACTTTTTTCTTAATGGTGAGAGGAAAGTGGATTCCGTTCTGCCGCTCCGTCGTTGAGACCAATACTAACATAAAGAAAATCACATTTTCGCATTAAACAAAAAAAAAGTGAAAAAAAAAAGAGCAAAAAAAAATTGTCTACTTAATTTTTTTCCGTTTTTAAAAATAGCAAATTTTTCTGAACAAAATGTTTTTTGTCATTTAAACTCCGAAAACAATCATTTTCAGTGTGCTTCAATTAATTAAAGTTATTTGATACTGCTGAATGAAAATACAACGAGATGGAGACATGATAGACACCGTAAGATGACAGGCCAGGCGTAAAGAATGAGAAACGCACTAGCACTCTCAGGTAAGCTAAACCGGTTCTGTTATCTTCTAAACCTTCGTACGTAGTAGATGAGACCCCCATAAATGTATGTCTTTAAGCACCGCTAAATATGATTAGAATCGGAAAATTGTAGTCAAAAAAAAAAGAACAGCTGAAAAATTTATTTTTTATTCTCTATTCTACTTTTTCAAGTCTGCTTGTTTTTGCGCCCTTGTAATCAAATTGTTTCAAACATCAATGATTATGGTATTTAAAACCGTGTCAGGTTTAAAAAAAATGGAGTTTTTATTTTATGACATTATAGAGCCTTTCTATGTCAGTTCGCGGACTTATTCCACCGAATACCTCAAAATTTTCTCAAATTTTATTGTTCATTAGATTTCAAGTTTGAATTTAAAGAATTGAGGAAAAGATTTAGAAACGCTATTCTACCGTCAAGTTACGCACGCCAAAGTAGCATAATTTGCAGATTTCTGCCCGAAAATGCCTATTTTTACAGTTCAGATAAACCTCAGATAAAATTTGATGCTTTATAGCTTTTTAGGTTTTGCGTGAATCCGCTAATTTTAGTAGACGTCACGGCATTTATTTCTGTAAAATGGTTTAGCAGACACAACGAAAGCAAAAGTACAAAGAAATAGAAAAGGGAACTGCACTTTTGAGCTAAAAAAATTTTCTATAGAACTTCCTACTCAATAACAAACCATAAATTGGTGATTTTCCTCTGAAGTAGATGAGAGTTAGTGGTTGAAAAGCGACGACAAATGTTGTGCGCATCTTACAAGGGTGAAATCACCATCAGCGACGGAATCTGCCTCTGAAATCCAAAGCGAACCCTTGTGAATTCTCAGTACTTTTCAGTCGTGGAAGATTTTTTCCATTATGTTTCATACAAAGAAAATACACAAAAACTACTCATCTCATTATTATGCTGCTACGTGAGATTTTTTTTCGGCACTCTAGAAGAATATTTCTATCTCATCAGAGGCATACTAATGATCTATTCTACCAATGTCACGGTTCTAAAGGTAGGCATCAGCTCAAATCAAAGTTTTTTTTGCTAATCTCGCTCGCTGTAACCTTCTAAAATCCATGATTGTAACAGATCCATGAAAGACCCGTATCCAGAGTTTGAGTGGCTAGAACAGAATTTTTTCCAATTCTTTAAATGGTATTAACCATTCTTTGGCTGTGCAACAAAGCTCAACAGAACTTTTCCATATGACTTTTTCATAACTCGGCGGGGAATTAACTACTGAAAGCCCTTTTTTGAATTTTCAAATCCGAAATAAAGTCAGCCAAAAATCGAATTTTGAGAAAATTCTGATATATTTGGTGAAACAAATGCGGGAACTAGCATGGAACGGCCCTATAATACCGACAGAATTTTGTCCTTTTTTATATGATGCGACCTCCAAAATACTGACCATTAGTAGTAAGCCAAACAAAAAAAAAAAAAAAAGTTAGCAATCAATACATTCTATTACGTCAATAATTTATTTCTGTTTTACTGTAAACTCAAAAAATTTGTTTTTTAAGCTTTATAACATAAATGGGTTTTATATCATAATATATCCGTTCAGATGACATTATTTATTAATATTTCAAATAACAAAAAACAGAATAGTATCGTTTGAATCAAATTTCCAGTAATAATAATTCAGTTACTGCACCTGGCCTATGCCATTGGACATACAGGTGAGTAACAACAAATAACCTGGGTTGAATTGATTGATGCTACTCGCAGTTCTCCACATAGGCAACGACAATGGCTACGTAAATAATTGAAGCTAAATTTTACTGTTGTCACCAAATCCTTCGTTATCATCCCAATATTTGCTCATCTGTTATTATTGCTTCGCAATATTACTACTGCTGCTGACCATTATTTACACCTGCCGTATCCTTTTGTTTCTTTCCTGTCATTGTAAAAATTTTGGCTCGAAAAAATTTAACTCTCATCTTCTCTTCAATAGTAATAGTGGCAACAAATCGTCATCGTACTGTCGACGAGTTCGAAATGAGCAACAAAAAAAGTATTGTTTGACCCTTGGAAAGTTTTGAATGCCAAATTCAGTTACGTTAACTCTACAAATTTAAGACTTAAAAATCCCTAGAAAACATTCTTTGAGAATTCTGGCACAAAATACAGTAATGCTTCCAGCTCTACGAACTTATACTGTTATCGTCAGTGTTTGCAAAACGTTACGACCTACAACCAAAGAACTTTAGGAAACATCTAACTTCCGTTTGCTTTATCTACAGCCACCTTTCACAGGCACCCTAGTTCGTTGACCGGGTAATTTCTTGCGAACAGGCGAAAACTTCTGAGGTATAGTCAGAAATCAGCAGATAAACAAAACAGACAGCATACAACCAAGCGCTATCTACAACATGTCATCTAACTTGTGTCCACCTTGGGAGACCCGCTCAACAAAAAGTCCAGCAACTTGCACAGCAAAGCACGATATTGGCAAATTAAATTTATTGCCAAAAGTTACATAGGTATAATATGTCATTAAAAAACAATGACCGGATACGAGAACCTTTGCTAACAACCAAACATAGCATATACAGGCAAATTGAACAGCCGATTTTGCAAAGAATAACAAACAATTTCTAACCGAGCAAAATAAGTAACAAGTAACATTCCGTAAATTTTGACCTAACAAGATTTTAGCAAATTAACCCCGCATCACTTATTCCAATGTAAAAAAATAATAATAAATTAGACCGACTTCTTCATTACAACACTGAATTTGGAATATCCACTAAAAAATCCTAACTGCCATCCACAAGACCCGGAGCACTCTTAATTAAAAACAAGGTGAAAACAATAATGAAAATTAACTTCCGTATAGAATTAATTGTTTGAAATCTCGTACTTCAATGTAAAAAGTAACAGCATCGACGAAGCAGCAATTTAACTTGTAAAAACTAAACCAATCACTTAGAAGTTGTATTTAATATATGGGATCTCTACGTCTTCATCATTTGAATCTGTGGCCATTACTTCCAAGACAAGTGAACGGGTATATTCAGGAGTAGGTCGTCTTGACACTTCTTCGACAACTTTTTTCAAACTGTAATGGTTCAAGAAACTTAAAATAAAATCTAAACAAATAGATCGCAACAAGACGCAGCAAAATGCGATAATTTAAGACCAAAACAATTCTAGAAGGCAGAATTAAAGATTTCTTCCTCTAATCTCAAAGTTGCACTAAGACCAATTAATTTTTTGTAAAGAAACCACACTTACTCTTGATCCATTCTTTCTGCTCTTTTTGCAGGATTCATAAAAAAGCTGTAGATTAATGAAACCCCAGAGGACAGCATTGACACATCAAGTTTCGTTTCCGCCTAAAATCTTAACAATAGCAAAAACATGAGTATAAAGTTTGAAAAACTGAAAATTCAGTTACTAAGAGTTTACAGATATTGAGCTCTGAAACAATCAAATAACGTTTGAAACAAAAATCTATAAAGAAAAGGCGGAATTCCTACGTGAATCCAGTCAATTAACTCCTTGAGGGTTTTCGGCCCCTGGATTTCAATACGGTCCCATAACGTAAATGTCTTGTCATTATACTAAAAAAACAAGCTGGCGTATTAAAAATTCACTAAAAAAAAAGTCAGATGATGTACCTTTTTCTCAGGTGCAGGTATTGGCTCCGAGAATGCAAAGAACGGTAGAGCAAGGTTTAGGAAGCCATTTTTGAGCCGCTCAATCGGGATTTTAAGTAAACTAGTACCATCACCGATCAATTTGTGCAACTCAACCATAACAAGACCAGACACAGCTGCAGTAGTGGTAGCTATAGCAGGAATGATTCGACCAGCTATTTGTTTCGTCTATAATCAAATTTTTCTCCATACAATGAAAAAAACCATATATTAATAGTTATTGTCCTTTAACGAATTTTGAAGTTATTATTTACACATATCAGTGCGCTACTTAAAGCTTCTTGACGTTTGACATTTTAAGAGACAAATTAGTGTTAAAAAGAAAGGTTGAAAAATCAACCTTCATACGATCAGCAGGAGCAATGTCGTAATTTTCCGCTCTTAAATTAGAAGCAGCAGTTATAAACTCCATATGATGATTCAAATCATCATCCTTTTCAAAATCTATAGGTACCAATGGTTGTATACTTTTTGTGTTTAATTTCGCCAATTTCAGCTTCAAATCAGATAATTGTTCATCCGCGTCATCTATAACAGACACTATTCTTTCAGGGTGATTATATAACAAAGAGCAAAAACAAAACATTATTGAGCTAAACTCCTCATCACATTATTTTATACTCATTTCCAAACAGTGGTGTTAGAAATAAAGCTAACCATCATTGAGATTCGACTGTTCCTTCGCTTCTGCTTCTGACACAGCAATCTTCACGCCTTTCCGTGGCTTGAAAGGTTCAGGTTTGAACTAAAACTAGAGCTAAACATAAAAAAAATCGACTACTTGCAAATTTTACCAACACGATAAAACGTCAAGACGATGCTTTTGATGTGAAGAAAAAAATATAATAGACAAATCAGAAATAAAAATTTTAACCTGTTTCAAAATTGATAAAATTTTGTTTTTGTCAAGTATTGGCTTGAGTTTGTACTGTTGTGCTCGCAAGATTGATCCAGCGTAAACAAAATTAAAATGCTCCTCCTCAAAAAACAGAAAAAATATCAAAACTGAGAGTCAAAAAGCTTAACAACAGCTTTGAAGACCAGAAGAAGCACCTTTTCTGGATCAAACTCCAAAACATGAGGTCGTCTTTTCGTGCCAGACCAGAACTTAACACCAAAATCTGTCACCTGATCCGCTGGGAAAATATGTAGCAGCTGTGCAATCGCATTGTGGTAATTTTCCTGAAGCATTCTTTGTAAAGCATCGTGAAATAGTAACAAATTGAAAGCAAAAAAACCAAAAATTTAATTAAGAAAAGAAAAGGATTAGGAACTTTAAGCAGAAACTTTTCCAATGGATGAAATCTCCTTTCAGCGAGAAAACAGCTAAACTGTGAATGAGTTGAAAAAAAAA